TCTCTCTCTCTCTCTCTCTCTCTCTCTCTCCAATTTGGCAGAAACAAACAGCACGTGTATGTAATTCTGTGTCGTACAAATATTACATTCCGACTTACCCTGTATGTAGTTGAGCTGGAACCCCGTGACGTAGCACCGTTGGCACCTTCTGATAGAGGCACGACATAGCAATAGCTCGGCGACCTCTGTCCCCCCGCATCGCCGTTGCTCGCTGAGGCGTGTCTTCTTCTATTCGATCTGCCCTCACGCCCCTCCCTTTCAATGCTGAGGCCCCGCCCCTTTTCTCCAGCGACCCAGGCTGCCCGACCGGGAGACGTGTGTTGTCTGTTGGTTCTGCCGGTGCTGCATCTAGCACACAGGGAGCGCGGTCGGGTCTGAGGGTGGTAGGTCAGGTCTGAGGAGGATCAATGGTCCCGTTACTTAATAAAATAATAGACCTTTTTTTTTTTTACTTTGGTCATTTGTTGAGAGGTTGTACACTTGAATATTATATCTTGCTCTTACTGGTAAAACTGAAGACAAACAAGGCAGGGATAGAGCCAGAGCAGCTTACATGGAAAGCCTAAACAGATGGATGACGGAAAAAGATAAGGATAATACTATAGTAGGTTATAGCCATTTTTAAAATAAATAGCATTCGAACAAAGGCGTTAATGGCGAACCATGCTCGGTGATGTCTGGCGCAAATCTGGTACTTGTTGATGATGACCAACTCACTGGCATCTGTGGTATTATATAGCGGCTAAGCTCTTCTCTGTCTCAAACGGAACACCAGAGTTCGAATCCCGCATGGATAGAATTTTATCCGATTTGTCCCTGACAGGCAGCGTCGAGTTCCACCTCTTAATTTATCATCTTAATTTTGTCTACTAGACGTATAAACACTCCTACAATAACAATATAAAAAGATTGTACCTACTTTGGGACCCCATGAACATTGAATCTAAGTTCTAATATCCCTGTGAGGGCTAAGTTTGTTATAAACAACTGAATTGTGCACACTCTTGAATTATTACTTGCCTGAGGTATAAGCGCACCCCGGCAAAGCATATTAGAGCAACGATGACAATAGAGCAGTAGGCCGTGCAACAGACCCAAGAAATAAGTGAAATAAAAGATCTGAGAGCTACCCAAGTTTATAACTGTCCCCGGGTTTTTGTGTACCCCGCGTAAAATAACAAAATTTGGTCATTTTTTGCATAATTTCAGATTATTTTCCTTTATCATTCTTTGTTAAAATTAACAGAATCGCATAATTTCACATTTTTGTGCCCAGTTTGCATAATTTCAGCCTTTTTTGTATAAAACCGCGGGGACGGGTTTAAGAAAGTAAAGCTTTACGAATTTCAGAAAAAGACCTCAGAGAACTGAAAGATTCGATTCAGAGAGGCAAAATGGAAGGCCATCAACACCTAAGCTTTATGAAAGACGTTAGACAGACTTTCTCCAAAAACTCTCTGGATCAGTTCATGGATTCGAGTGGGTGGGTGAGTTTGCAATTGTGTGTCGGGGGGTATGTGTGTGAGTTTGAGTGTGTGTGTGTGTGTGTGTGTGTGTGTGTGTGTAC